AGTGGTTTTTATTCTTTGGAGTCATTGGAGTCATGCTCTGAAAGTCTTTTTGCATTCCAAGATTATAAAGATGTTCATTAAAAACTTAAAATTTTTTAATATTATGATTTAATACCCTTAAACTTGGTTTGAAAGTTTGTGTTCTTTGTTATTGCTACAGCAGCCTTATAATTTTATATACCATACTCCAGAACAACTTGAAGTTCAGTCAGTGCATTTGGTTCTGTGCTTATAGAGGAAGAGGCGAGTTCTTCAAGTGAACATGATCTAAAATCTTTGTACTGCTGTATTGAGAAAGCTTTGGTGTTTCTGAAAACAAAATGATCAGTAATCATTTTTCATTAGAAGTAATAAATTGCTTGTTATTAAAACACACATGCCTATTTATATGTCAAATAATTGACATACTGATTCAGGCATCCCTATTTTAAACTAGAATCTTAAACTTTGAGCTGATAATAGTTTTGCTTAGCGAGCAGATTTTTTTGTACAGCATGTATACTTAATTTCTAAAAGTTTTACTAACATATTATGTTGTCCTAAATTTAAGGCTTAGTGTTTCTGTGGTGTTTACTATATATTGATTCTTTATGCTCCAGTCATATAAGCAATTAAGTATAAATAATTGATAGTGATTCATGTAGTACCTGGCACACAATGGACATTTGATAAATCAGTTGAGTTTGAATTATTACATTTTATAAATGTGCTGTTAGTAAAATAAAAAACTTAAACACTTAAGTAATGCACACTTAAATAACTCTTAGAAAACGTCATTCTGTTGTCTAGTTAAATTCTGATTCGTTTAATATTAAAGTCTAATAGCATAATTAATTCTGAGTATTTTCTCACAGACATGTAAAAGTCAACAAACAGACCCTTGCCACTTACGTGAAGTGGCTATTTAACCATGAAATAAAATATTTTTATTGCCTTTGCCCTGTGGATATGTTCTTTCTGGCAGTGCTGTCCGTATTTGGTGGCTAAGCATGGAGAGCCAGGTGGTGCTGAAACGCATCGCACAGTGAAGCGTGGATAGATCTAGGTTCAACATTTGTTATCCCTTACTGCTGAAGGGAAGGGGAAAATCTGCTTTTCCATATGTTTATTCTTTTTTTTTTTTGCCTGCAGTTTTGTCCAGATGGTCTTGTGAACATTGTTTACTTTAGGATGCTACCCCAGATGTTTTGAAAACTGATGGATAAATGTGGTATACAGATACATAAATTATTGGCATATTACAGTTTTAAAAATGTCCTTGCAAAATTAAAATATAATTTATTTCTGGAACTATTTTCCTAAATGAATAATGTATATATATAGTTAATATAATTTATATAGTTTATATGTTTCCCCTGGTGGCATAGTGGTTAAGATCTCAGCTGCTAACCTAAAGACTGGCAGTTCAGATCCACCAGCTGCTCCTTGGAAACCCTATGGGGCAGTTCTGTGCTGTCCTGTAGGGTCACTATGAGTCGGAATTGACTCGACGGCAGTGGGTTTGGGTTTGATTTTCTTTTTTATGTTTCACTAACCATTCTGTTTTCTTTTTAATTAAAAAAATTTTTTAGAACATTTCAAACACATACAAATGTAGAAAGAATACGAAAAATGGACCCTCATAGATGCATCACCAGCTTAAACATTTATCAACTCATGGCCAATCCTATTTAATTGTTATTTTTACCTGTTTTTTCCTTCCCTTTGAATTATTTTGAAGCAAATGGAAGCTGTCTTCATCTTAATAAGCTAAAAAATATTATAGCAACATTTATTAAGAATGTTAACTAAAGTAAATACTTTTGAGGAGTCGTATTTGTTCAGTCAAGATTGCATATACCTAAATCTATAAGAATTGTATTTTTTGTGTTTCTTCTCACTGTACACAAATCACTGAAGAGAATTTATATGGTAAAATGATAATGGATTTATAGTCAGAAGATTAGCATTGTGACCTTAGGCAAATCACTTAAGCTCTTGGAGAATGAGTTTTGTAAACGTAAAATAGTAATCAGAGTAACAGCCTTGCCTGAGAAGATGGACTAATGCTTGGATTTAATTACTTTTTCATGTTAAGTCTCTTAATCACTGTGAAAGCATCTAGTGGCAGCGGCCATAATGAGAGCCTGAAACCTGCCTATTGTAGGCTGTAGTTGGAATCTCAGATATAATAAAGAGGCAGACTGCTTTCATTACAAATCCAGCCAGAATCCATATCAGCTTTCTCTTGTTTGTGTAGTGCTTCTTAAACACTGACTAGTTTTTTTCTTTTGCTTTTACATTCACTTGCAGGTTTGAATACTGTCTGGCCTCTTCCCCCTTCTTTTTTCTCTTCATACGTCAGTGACCTGCTTTAATGATTACACCGGCGTTTGCCCCTAAGCTCTTGTATGGGGTTTGTTTATTATCACCCATTTTAAAATCTGTAGGACAGGAAAAGAGACCTACCTTGTTAGCACCTCTGCATTAACTCAGGATTCTGAGATTGGGATTTGAAAATAACTCCTCAATATCTGGGTAACAATAGATAGCTGGTAACAACCAATAACATTTAAAGATTAAACAAACAGGAGTAAAGGGGGAAAGAGTAAGTAATAGGGTTTATGAAAAAATATTACAGCACAAGGTAGGAGAAAAGTTGTTAGGACCTGGAAGAAAATTTTTTTTCCATGGAGAAGATTTGTTTCATGTAAGAAACATCTTAGAAACCACCAATTCTTTTTTCTCAATGAGGTGTTTCCACATGTTAGAAAAGCCAAGAAATTATGAAAACCAGTACAAAAGGTATAACACATGTTAGCAATTCAGAAAATCCAAATAGAAATAAGGTATAAACTTGAGAAAACAATACTCAGAATATAGAGGAAATGAATAAAGAAAAGTGATGAGAGCAAATAAACAATGGACATAAAGGTTTGATTTTGGCACAAGTAATAATTTTGGCAAGCCCTGGTGACATATGGTTAAGCACTTGGCTGCTAATCACAAGGTTGGCAGTTCATACCCACTAGCAGCTCTGCAGGAGGACAGACCTGGCGTTTTACCCCTGTAAAGATTACAGCCTAGGAAACCCTACGGGGCAGTTTTATTCTGTCCTATAGGGTTGCTGTGAGTCGGAGTTGACTTAGTGGCACACAACGACAACAACAACTCAGCTATTTATCATACTATACTAGGCACTTTACAAATATTAGCTTATTTAATCCTTATGAGAACTCGATGAGATAGAGACATCATTCTCGCTTTTCAGAATGAGCCTAATAGAGACAGTTATTTGGAATTGGCGATTACTTGGGATTCTAGAACAAGACTGCCTACATTTGAAATCTGGTTCTGTTTCTTTTTCATGGCAAATTATATAATCTTGTTGTGCTTGCCACTTTCCCATGTAATAGTTTCTAAATTATCTGGAAGATTTGAGGTTGGGAAAATTATTTTTTAGAAATCCTCTCTAACTCACCTACTTACATGGTTCCCTGCTCAGGAAATAAATCTATTTAATGAGTGTAGTGGGCCTAGAGTGAAGTAAGGACTACTGTTCTCCATCCCTGGCCTCAAGTTTAGGCATTCCTCTTTGGGATATTTTTGCAGTAAATGAGTTTTAATAACTCCACTTGATTGATACTGGACCCCCATATCTAAATGCCTTTGCTTTGGCAACAGTCACAGGTGCCGAGTCAAGCTTCATTTGAACCAACAGAATGTGAATGACATCAGTATGCCCCTGCCTGAGACTAAAGCTTCAACTTATGGTGTTTGCTGTCTGCTCCTGTCCCTGAGAACAGGGCCTCCTCCGCCCTGATTCATGTCCTCTAATGCTGTTGTACAAAAGTGGGGGGATCTTAAATTTATTTTGTCTTAAGAATTCATCAGAAACCTAGAGGGCTAAAATTCTATTGAACCTGCTGTTTAATCTTGCATTTTTTTTTATATTGAATTTTTATTATGTATATTCTTCCTAAAATCCTACCCCTGTGGAAGTGTGTTTCCTGATCTCCATGAATCTAATTGGAGAGCTGAGACAGCCAAACATTTAAAAGTTAATTAGGAAGGCAAGACAGTATGTATTAATAATTAATAATTGTATTCAATAGTGGTAGCTCTTTACCATCTGCAGTTTGATTCTGACTCATGGCTACCCCGTGTGTGTCAGAGTAAAAACTGTGCTGCATAGGGTTTTCAGTGGCTGATTTTTTGGAAGTAGATCACCACGCCTTTCTTCCAGGGTAGCTCTGGGTGGGTTCAAATCTCCAACCTTTCAGCTAGCAGCCAAGTGTGTTAATCATTTGCACCACACATGGACTCCTCATATCTCTTTAGTCTCCTGTAATCTAGAGTAGTTCCTCATTCTTTCTTTGTCTTCCATGCCGTTGACATTTTTGAAGAACATAGGTAAGTTATTTTATAGAATGTCCTTCAATTTGTGTTTCTCTTATTTATGTATTCAGTTTAGATTCATTCTCATTTCGTTCAGTGAATAATTATCTATTATTGTCCTTATTAATTTTGATAGTCAAACTGGCCCAGATTGGGATAGTGGGAACCTGTGCAAGATGGCTCGTGTGTATTTTGACCTACTCCCATCACTTTTTCTTTTTAGCACTTCTTTGTTCTCTGGCACAACAAAAATGTTATGACTCATTTTGTATCTTCATTGCCCCAGACTTAGAATCAGCCTTTTCTTCAAGGAGTCTTCATTCCTTTTAATGGGGAATGGTATTTAGAAGCTACGATCTGGGTCTTTTCTACTTGTTTTATGACTTTATTAATTTATATTTAGTTTTTAAATTCATCTAGAACTTATTTTGTAATATGGTATGAGGTACAGATTGGTATATTAAATGAATTAATTGCTTTAGCAATAAGATATAAAATCAAAGACATTTCTTTATTTTTCTACTCTTGTCCTTCAGGAACATTGATTAAGGGGGAAAATCTTGTCATATTATGTATATTTAATTTTATATTTCATGTCAGCTATGTTTTTTTCTAACTTATAGGTACATTTTCTAGAATCATAAAACTTTGTGAAGAAAAATGTGAAACAGGTGAAATAAAGAAAGGAAGAAAAGATAGCAGTGTAACATCTGTGAAAGGAATTACAAATTTAGGAAATACGTGCTTTTTTAATGCAGTCATGCAGGTAAGAGTCATCAGAAAGCTTTGTAAAATTTAAAAGATCATTTTAATTAATTTATAGTTTATTCAGTATTTGGTAGCTCTGAGTCCTCCTAAGCAAGGACACTTAATTATCAGTGAAAATGAATTTTGGTAAAAAGTGTTTCAGTAGGTAGAAGCATTTACTTTCCGGAATTTCACATTCTATTTGTTTATACTGGTAGTAATGTCATTATCCAGTTATTAAATTCTTACCAAGTTGCAGCATCTAATATATTACTATAAACTTAGTAGGAATTTGGTAATTTTTTTTTTTTAATACAGTAATTTTTTAGTAGTTTTCCTGCTTAGGGGAATAAATGCTGCCTCCTCTCTCTCTCTCTCTCATAGTGTCAATTCAGTTCTGCTTTCATAGAGTCCTGCTGGTTCATCAGGAATTACCTTTAGAATCTAGCTTTTGGAGTTTATAAGAATCATATGTGGAACTTAAAAAACAAACAACAATAAAGATATCTGCTGTTTCATGTTAAAAGGTTCAGGTTCAGGAAGTCTGGGGTCAGATCTTTTGGTTTTTATTTTGTTTTTGTTATCAGCCATAGATGAGATGATTCTAATGTAAAACTATAGGCTGAGAACCACTGGTTTAGAATGAAAGATTTTAACATCTTCAGGAATATTGTACCATTTTTGTCTTCCATTTGTATGTTCATTGACATACCTGTAGCCTGTCAAATGAATGCTATGTTCCTCTAGAAGTTTCTCTCTGTTTTCTTCTCATTTGTTGTAGGCTATCTGTAGCCATCGTCTATGCATGCATCCATCTTCTTTTCCCCCAGTGCTTCTTAAAGGTCTTCTCTGTTTTATCATGGCTTTATCAGTAATAGTGACATTTACTACATGTGAAGTGCATTTATTTAAATTTTTTTAGTTTTTTTGAAATGGACATTTTTGCTCTGCTAAATGAAATTTGAAACTTTGATTTTTATTTTATTCCATAAAATCAAAGGCATATTATAACTGAATCAGAAGACTTTACTTTTGTTTTCTTTTAGAACTTGGCACAGACTTACATTCTTACTGAACTGATGAATGAGATCAAAGAAAATGGTACAAAATTAAAAATCTTTCCTTCTTCAGACTCTCAGCTGGTGAGTAAGAAGTATAACTGTAGAGAGTAGCTCTTTTCAGATAAACCACTGATGTTCCTGAAATCTAGCCTTCCTATTTCTTAGAACTGTCGGCTGGGATGGTAGTTAGAGGATTAAAAAATAATAAGAAAAATAAAATTCAGAAGCATTTGTGGAAAGAAATAATTTTATAACTTCTAAAAATATGGCTTTAAGATGTGTTATAGTTCAGACATATCATGAATCAAACAATACAAAAATATTGAGGTAAACATACTAGAAAAAACAAATGAAGTTTGACTTTTGTTGAGCAAAAATATCTAGAACCCCTGTTTTGTAGTTACAGGTGACATTTGCTTAAATGTAACATTTTTGTTCCTTAAAGGTAGATTTAATTTTAATAGTGAGCAACTAAAGGTTTTTGGGAGCCTAGTCCAATGATGGGTTTTAGGCTAGTGAGAAAGAAAAAAAACGAGTAGCCCCTGACATTCAGAAGCTAGCCTGGCACTCACAGGTAGGCCATGTTATTCTATTAGACATAAACAGTCTCTCAGAACACTAGCCTTATTCCAGGTTACTCAGAGACTATGATAAAATGAGATAAGGCTACATCATAATTTTGTCTAAACACAGACAAAAACATGGTAACTGCACTGACAAAATCCCAAATACCCCTCTCTCTGCCAAAATAAGTGACTACTACTTTTTTAAATTGTGTGTGTGTGTGTGTGTGTGTGTACACATACATATAACAAAACATTTCCCATTTTGACTTTTTTTACATGTACAATTCAGTGAGATCAATTACATTCGTCATGTTGTGCAAGTATCACCACTCTTCATTTCCAAATGTTATCATCAGACCAGTTTACTTCTTTACCAACTATAGCTTTAACCTCATTCTAGTTTTTCCTCGCAGAGATAAGATTTATTGAGATGCCCAATCATTGAATTACCCCCACTTTCTGACAGTAGCTAGACTAGAGAGAACCCCTGCTTCCTTAGACCCTCCCACAAATCACCCAGTCAAACCCCAAATCCTGTGAGTTTCTTTTTAATACCTTCTTACTGAGATATCCCGATTGCCCCTGGTGTGTTTTCTCCCTCATTGCAATGAGTAGTAGACCCAACTTGTTCAACTATAGGTGTATTCTTTGGCTGGAAGGCATTGACACTAGTAATATGATTGTAGTTAGAAACTGAGCTGTGTGTGTGTACATGTGTACACATTAGAGTGAAGTGGAGTCTGTATAGCTTTGAAAACAATTAAAGAAGAGGGGTTCTAAAAACGCTTATCACAATATAGTAATAGATAATTTCCTATTCCTTATTAGTAAAATATTTAAGGAAGAGAAAGATGGGGAGTTTTCCTACTAAATATAATTTATGATTATTTATGAAGATCTACAAATACAAGCAGATGAGTCATTTTACTTGTGAGAGTGTACATTAAGGGACAGTTAAAAACAATTAAAAATTAATGATTTCACTCTTAAGCTAATAGTTCTGTAAGTAAAGGGTGGAAGATATGAAAATACGTGTTTTGTCAAGGCAAGAGATTTAATATTTCCTCTATTTGTAATATATTTTATAAGGGAAGAAAAGTTCTTAATACGCTAGAGGCAATTTAGTTGCTATCATTTAAAAGTATAATTCTTAGACTTTTTAAAATGATATTCTGTTTTAAAATTGTATATTTCTGATGTAGAGTTGATCATGTTTTTAAAGGATCCATTAATGGTGGAACTTCCAAGCCCTGGGCCACTGACCTCAGCCTTGTTCGTGTTTCTTCACAGCATGAAGGAGACTGAAAGAGGACCACTTTCTCCTAAAGTTCTTTTTAATCAGCTTTGTCATAAGTGGGTGCATTTACCTTTTTAATCGAACAATCATTGGTTACGAAATACTAATGTATTTATTACTCGTCAGTGTTTTATAGTTTTCATCATACAAATCCTGGACCTGTTTTTTAGATTTATTCCTAAGAATTTCATGATTTTTTAATTCTATTTATTGTAACTGGCACATTTTTTAAAATTTCAATTTCCAATTGTTTGTTGTTAGTATATAGAAATACAATTGATTTTTGTATAGTGATCTTGTTTTTGCTACCTTGTTCAACTTACTTGCTAGTTCCGGTAGCTTTATGTAGATTTTTGGGGATTTCGTATATAAATAATAATGTTACTGGTGAATAAAGACCCTTTTATTTCTTTGTTGCCCATCTGTATCCTTTTATATCTTTTTCTTACCTTATATCACTGGCAAGGCTCTCCAGGACAATGTTGGAGTGGTGAAGTGGGCATCCTTGCCATTTTCCTGATATTAGGGGGAGAACACTCAGTCCTTCACACTTAAGTATGATGATAGCTGTAGACTTTCTAAAATAAATTCCTTCCTATTAGATTGAGGAAATTACCGTTACCGGTGTTCTGAAAGTTCAAATGCCTTTCTGCACCTGTTGAAATAATCATGTGGTTTTTCTTTTTTGGCCTGTTGGTTTAGTGAATTGTATTGATATTCTTTTTAGCTTTATTGAAGTATGTTTGACATACAGGAAGTTGCACATATTTAAAGTGTACAATTGGATAAGTTTTGATATATGTTCACATTTGTGACATCATTGCCACGTTCATTATATATCCATCACCTTCAAGTTTCTTCTAGCCCGTTTGTACTCCCTCCCTATGAACCTCCTCCCTCCTGGGTTACTCGTTTCCTACTTTTTTGTCACTATCGTTTTCATTTTCTAGAGTTCTATGTAAATGAAATCATAACTTGTGTATTCTTTTTGTCTGACTTTTTTCACTTGGCATAATTAACTTTGAGATTTATCCATGTTCATTGACTTTGAAAGTTGAACCAATCTCTTAAAATTTCTATTACAATGATAATTATCAGACCACCTGCAGTGAATGTTGTTTGGGGACAAGTGCTTCAACTTTCTTCTGGCCTTTTTTAAAAAATAACTTTGTATTCTGAAATAGTTTTAAGACTCACAAGAAGTTGCAAAAATAGTACAAAGAATTCCCATGTACCCTTTACTCAGCTTCCCCCAATGATAATATCTTACACAACCATATATGCTGTCAAAACTAGGAAATTGACATTAATATAATACCGTCAACTTTGGTACAGATTATATTCGAATTTCGCCAGTTTTTATGTGCACTTTTTTAAAAAAAGGTTCAGAGACGCTATAGAGTGACTCTTTTTTCCCTTCTCATTCACACCTGTCTTTTGCTTCCTTTACTCCATGTTGCTAATTAGTACTGATGTGCTCAGCTGTCTTTGGGCTTTGTCCCCAAGGAAGTGTAATCAACTCAACAAAATGTGGCTGAATAATGTTCAAAGACATTTAATCCTAATTTTATGGTATTCTGTGGTGTGTTAGTACCTTAAAGAGTGCTACCAAATTCTCAGAATGGAAGTACAGTATACTACAAACCAAAAAAGCTCTGGTTGCTGTTAAGTCTTTTCTGACTGTGGTGACCACATGTGTGTCAGAGTTGAATTGTGCTCCATAGGGTTTTCAGTGACTGATTTTTTGTAAGTAGGTCACTAGGCCTTACTTCTGAGGTGCCTCTGGGTGAACTTGAACCTCCAGCCTTTCAATTAGCGGTCGAGCACCTTAACCATTGTTGTACCCAAAAACTCCACAGTATACTATAATCCTTTATAAAAAAAATTTTTTGAGCAAACTTTCAGAAAGGAAAGGGAGCTGTATTGAAATTAAAAAATTTATAATGAAATGATTTTGGGGGCCTTAATATAAAAATATTAAAAATTGTAAGTTGGCGTTTTGAGTAACAGTTAAGCAGTAGGAAGCCAATGTGAACCATATGCTACATAGAGATACTATTACTTTCAGGCAAACTAAAGTTGGAAGTTTTTTGTTTTAATTCTTTTAGGAAATCCAAGTTGGTTTTTAACAATTATCTACAATTAACCCTTGAGGGAAATTTAGCATCTGCCTTCTCTTTTGAAATTTAATCTTTAAGTTCCCAAGGTGACATAATTTTTACTATCCTTCATCCTATGTATTAGTTATCTATTCCTGCATAATAAATTATCCCAAGCCTTAGTGGCATAAAACAGCAATATCTCTCATGGATTTTGTGGGTCAGTAATTTGAGAGGGAGCAGCTTGGCTGGGCAGTTCTGGCACAGGTTCTCTTATGAGGTGCAATGAAATGTAAGCCAGGGCTACAATCATCCAAAGGCTTGATTGGAGCTGGAGGAAGTCACTCGCATAGCTTTTGGTTCCTCTCCCTCTGGGCACCTCCCAGAGCTCACATGTATTTCTCACATGACCTCCCAGAGCTCACATGACTTTCCTAGGATGAGTCATCTAAACAAGAGAGCCAGGTAGCAGTGTATCCTTTTTGTGACCTAGTCTGGGAAGTCACATAGCTTTAGCCAAAACCAAACCTCTTGCCATTGAGCCAGTTCCAGTTCCTGGTGACCCCCATGTGTGTCAGAGTAGAACTGTGCTCCATAGGGTGATTTTTCAGAAGCAGACTGCCTGGCCTTTCTTCCAAGGTTCCTCTCAGTGAATTTGAACCCTAACCTATTGGTTAGCCACCAAGCACATTGACCGTTTATGCCACCCAGGGACTCCTCCCATATTTTACTTGTAAAAAAATTGTTCTGTAAGTCTAGTCCACATTCAAGGGGAGAGGAATTAGATTTCACCTTTTAAAGGGAGGAATGTTGAAGAAATTGTGTATGTGTTTGAAAACCATTACATTCTGCCACCTAGAACTGTTAACATGTTGCTGTATATTGCTTCATATTTATCCTTACATTATATATACAAACTATTTTATTACCTGTGTTTTTCACTTTACAATCTACTGAGGGCTTCTTTCCCTGTCAAAAACTACAGAATTACATATATTTAAAGAATAGCACAGTATTCTTTGAATTTTATTAATACATAGTGATTTTAATTAATCCATTTACTATTGATCTCAGGATTGAAATTTTTAAGCAAAACATATTAACCATACAAAGAACAGATTGAAAATTCTAGCAATGGTACATCCACTGATAATTCACAAGAGAAGAAACCTGAATAGCCAAATGAAATATGAAAAGAAGCAAACATAATGTTAAAAAATGAGATAACAGGGCATTCCATCGATGAAAAATAAATGCTGGTGAGGACAGAGAGAAATGGGAACGGAGCTGTGTGATCTTCGATAAGTTACCTAACTTTTCTAGGCTTTGCTTTTCCTCATCTTTAAAATGAGATTAATTAATAATAGAACTTCGTAGGTTCTTCAGCAGTGGTTAAGAGATTGGCTGCTAACCAAAAAAGGTTGGGAGTTCGAATCCACCAGCCACTCCTTGGAAACCCTATGGGGCAGTTCTGCTGTGTCCTGTAGGGTCGCTAAGAGTCAGAATCGACTCAACAACAATAGGTTTCGTTTTTTTGGTTTGTGAAGATTAAATGAAATATATATGATGAACACTTAACACATTACTTGGTGCATAGTAAACAGTTGATAAATATAAGCTATAATTAAAATTGTTTAAATTTTTAATGGAATATCTACTCTGTAGACTTGCCTGATTATTTCCCTTAGGATAAAGTCTACCATATTTTACGTAAGTAATGCGTGCCTTCTACGTTTGTTTGCCAACCACACCCTCCCCCTGTGAGGTATTTTCATAAGTGCACTATGTTAATTTTTTTCACAGCAACATGTAAAAAAAAATTGGCATAGCGACGCTTATGAAAATACTTGGGGGAGGGCATGGATGGCAAATGTAGAAGGCGTGCATTATTTGAGTAAAAATACAGTAGTCTGTTAGCTAGAGTATAATCTGTTGTATGAATATACCACAGTTTATCCATTGTTCTAAAAGGAGCCCTGGTGGTGTAAATGGTTAAATGCTCAGCTGCTAACTGAAAAGTTGGTGGTTCAAACCCAGCAGCTCCATGGGAGAAAGACCTGATAATTTGCTTCTGTAAAGATTACAGCGAAGAAAACCCTCTATGGCAGTTCTGCTCTATCACATGGGGTCACTTTGGGTTGAAAACTGCACACAACAGTATCCATTGTTCTGTTGTGGACACATTATTGAAATGTTACATGAATGTTTCAGAAGTGAAATTGCTGGATCATAAGCTACAAGCATTTTTAGTTTGTCTAGAAATTTGCCAGTTTTCCTCCAAAGTGGTTTTACTCATCTGTACTCTCACCAGCAGTGTATGAAAGTTCTCATTTCTCTTTGTCCTTACCAGCGCTTATGTTTGATTGATGGAATGCCGTATTATATCATTTTTAAAAATTTACCTTTCCTTCCTTTCATATTGTGTTTGGCCATTCAGATTTCCTGTCTTGTGAATTATCTATGGATGAACTGTTGCCAGAATTTTTCTTTGTATGGTTTCAGTGTTTTGTCTTAAAAATTTCAATCCTGAGATCATAAACACATTTGACTACATTTTTGTCCAAAAAGCTTTTCAGCTTTGCTTTTCACTTTTAACTCTTTTAATCTTTGTAGAATTGATTTTTGTGCATGATGTGAGATAGGGGTTTATTTATTTTTCATTTGAGGTAAAAATGTTCATTATAGCATTGCAGTTTATTGCAGAAAATATAACTTTTCAAAGTTACTGAAATCAACTGAACATTTGCTGTGTTGATATCTCCATGAACAGCACTTGATCTTTTTATTTAGTTAATACACAAGAAATCTAATTGTCGAATTCTTGAAAGAAACACGTTCACAGAGATATTAATTTATAGTCCTGTGTTTTAATATGATTAATCTCTTGCCTCTCTTTTGGTTATTTAATGTAGGAAGGTAATAGAGCACAGTGGCTTAGGTTTGAATACTGTTTTTTTGCTCTCTGTGTGACCTTACAAATTATTAAATAATCCTTCCAAGCCCTCATGTATAAGTTAGAGATAACAGTACATCCATGGTTGCTTGAGGATTATGTGACTTAACATATGTAAAGTTCCTAGTATTGTGCTTGGCATATAGTAGTTGCTTAGTAAATGTTAGCCATAGTGTTCTCAGTATGTAGTTACAATCTCATCTTATTTGGAGTAGTAATCATGTTTTGTCTTTCCAAGTGGAAAAAGCTGTAAATGGAATTTTTGAATATGTGTTGTTTAAGAGTGATTTTAAATAATAGTAACATATTGCTGATGTACTATGAAATAATTGCTTTATTTTTCTTTCCTGTTTTGTTTTTAAATCATAGGGCCCCTCGATTTAAAGGTTTACAACAGCAAGACAGCCAAGAGCTTCTTCATTATCTACTGGATGCAGTGAGGATAGAAGAAACAAAGGTCAAGTTTCTTTATGTTTGTCACATACTTGCTTTAATAAGAGTGTAGAGACTGTAGGATTAAATTTCTTTTATAACTTTTAAGTATGGTTAAGAAGTAGATTTGATTTTTTAAAAATTTTTATTCTTTTTTTTCCTTTTCCAGTATAAGATTGTTTTCTTTCACTCTTTCATAATTTTTTTATCCCTTTATTTATTAGTTAATCCTCTTTGGCTGTAAATAGCAGAAATCAATTCAAACTGGCTTAAGTAAAGAAAAAAGGAATCTTGAGAATCCAAGTGTAGGGGGGTGTAGTGAGTCTGAGGAAGGGACAGAAATGTTGTCAGGAATCCAGAAAGTATTGTCTTTCTTTTCCTAGTTTCTCTGGCTCTGTAGATTTTCTTCATTCATCTCTCTGCAGACTGAGTAGTTTTTCTGCTTCTCTATCTGAATGGTAGTACATGACTACCATTGCTTCTTTGGCTGCAAATAAGAGAAATCAAACTGGCTTAAGTTTGCACGCTGCAGTTACATCTATTAAAAAACTAAACTGGCCCTTTTTGATTCCAATTCTAAATTCCCAGGAGAGAGAAACTTTATCATCCCATGTTGTAATATGGTCCACTCAGGGATCAGGGAACAATTTTCAGAAAATAAGGAATGACTGGTGGACTGGATAGATTCTCTGAACAGTATTTCTTACAGTCCTATCCCTTAATTGATTGGCTGTTTGTTGCCTTTCGTATTAAATTAAATTCAGCTTTTTTGGAGACTCTTAGGCAAATCAGGTAAGATTTTCCAGAGAACATGCAAGATACTGAAGATGTTGAATACACAGTACACATCCTCCGTTTTCCCCTTTCTTCACTCATGGCTGACATTGCTAATGGTTCTAATGGTTCATAAGAGTCCTGCTGAGTCTGAATTCGGCCTCAGAATCATTCTCAACGTAACACTGTAGGCAGCCACTGTTGATCATAATCGGCATAATAGGTGAAAATCTGTTTTCCATTCTAGGTGAACACTCTTAAATTATATGTTAATATGTAGTAAAGCAGCCAAATGTAAAGGAAGTGCTCATATACTTGGAGTAGGTGTTACTAGGTTGAGTGAACTGTCCCTGCCGTCCTTTTTTTTTTTTCCTTTAATCCTGTTTTGTTTGAATTGCAACGTTGCAGTGCCTCTTTCCTCCTACTAATGGCCAGTTTCCAGTGAAGAAAGAGTTAATGTTCTGATTTTTTTTCTTACAAATTATCTTAAAAATAAGTTAGTCACTCCCTCCTGCTGGCAAATAGTGTGTATTACAATCTTACAATCTCATTCCTTAACTGGCTGTTTATTGACTTTCATATTAAATTAGTTAAATTCAGCTTTTGGAGGGGTCACTCCCTTCCTGTGACCTCTCTAATTATATATATTTTGATTATGGGCCTTACCACCTTCTATTTAGATTTATGTCTTTATCTGTCACCTCTTTTAGACTAGACTATGATCTCCTTCAGGAATGGTTCCATGTAATATCTCTGTGTCCCATGTGCCATTATTGGTAGGTGGTGAATATTTGTTGAAAGAGTTATCTGTGCTTAACCTATATGGACAACTTCTTTCGAGAATTTGAATTGGGAAGAAAACAATGTAAACAATCTTAAATAAGTTATACTAGCTAATTTCTTGAGAATCTGTAGTTATTTTTAATATGTTGTAGTTTGAATAAACTGATAGATTAACGGGGTAATAACTGCATTATATTTTACCCGTATTTTGTTAAAAGAAATCGGTTAAGAGATTTATAATTAGCTAAATTTTAGGGACATTAGTACAATCCCTCTGAATTAATATCTTATCACATTTTCTTAGATAGAGAAACTGAAACTAGGAGTGAAGATTTAAATTCAAGTCTTTCTGACTCCCAAACTAATAATCTTTCTAACTCTGTACCATAAAGAACCCTGTTGCCGTCAAGTCAGTTCAAACTCATAGCAACCCTATAGGACAGAGTAGAATTACTGCCCCATAGGGTTTCCAAGGAACAGCTGGTGGATTCGAACTGCCAACCTGTTGTTTAGTAGCTGAGCTCCTAATCACTGTGCCATCAGGGCTCCAACTCTATATCATACTGCTTATTAAAGTTTAATTTTAATGCTTGGTCAGCAGTAATCAGTATAAATGTTACTTTTTTTTTTTAAACTTAATTTAACCATAATTATTTTAGTATTTGGAAAAAGTATTAAATCTGATTCAGTAACTATGGTGTATATGTGTGTATCTATATATATAATTTCATTTTGTTATTGTTGAGACTATACACAGCAAAACTTAAAACCAATTCAACAGTTTCTACACATACCATTTAGTGACACTGATTACGTTCTTCGAGTTGTGTAACCATTCTCACCCTTCTTTTCTGAGTTGTTCCTCCCCCATTAACATAAATTCACTGCCCCCTAAGGATAACATGGTGTATTCTTATTGTAGAGGATGAATACGAGGTGGCAAGGTGGAAAAAGATTATATTGTCTTTGTGTTATGAATAGTAATTGCAGTATGATGCTTTTGGATCTACCGATAGTAGTTACAGTAAAATTATTACTATTTTTTTTTTGCTAGGATAATTTTTTTCCTTATGATGTCCAGGAATATGTTTACTATCTGGTGATCAGGTATTATAACTGGAGTTAAAAAGTACCCCTCTGCCTAGAACTAGATGGTGCCTGGCTACCACCACTGACAGCTCTGACAGAGATCACAATAGAGGGTTCCAGACAGAGCAGGAGGAAAATGCAGAACAAAATTTAAATTCACGGAAAAAAGACCAGGCTTACTGATCTGACAGAGACTGGAGGAACCCCCAAGACTATGGCCCCCAGACACCCTGCTAACTCAGAAATGAAGCCACTCCCGAAGTCCACCTCTCAGCCAAAGATTAGATAGGCCTATAAAACAAACAATAACATGTGAGGAATGTGCTTCTTAGTTCACTTAGTGTGCAAGACCAAATGGGCATCACCTGCCCAAAAGCAAAGATGATAAGACAGGAAGGGACAGGAAACACAGGGAACCTGGGTTGTAAAGAGAAAGGAGGAGAGTGCTGATATATTGCGGGGATTGCAACCAGTTATCGCAAAACAATTTGTATAAATTTTTGAATGAGAAACTAATTTATACTGTAAACTTTCACGTAAAACACAGTAAAATTTCAAAAAAATTTACCTCTCTGCGTTGTTTTCCTCTGTTGATATTACAAATAAAACAATAAAATCTATTCCTATCTTTTTTTTTCTACTGTACTTTTTATCACTTGATGGCAGTCTTTGTTGCAGTTAAATTACTCTTTGTCATAATGGTGCATTTGGATGCATAGTACCTTAAAAACTCAGGCAGTGCAGCAGGAAACATTGGCTTTGATAGCTTTTATCTTCCTTCGTCTGTTTGAGGGCTTTAGATGGTGTGACAAAATTAAAATGTCAAATCTGTGGATCTCTTCAGCCTTGTAAGCAAGGACAGTCATGGCGGTTGGTTACAGTGAGTACCCATTGAGCTGCATTGTCTGGCCTGGGAACTCCACAGCTGTTAGTCGTGCTGCTGTTGTAGCGTGTCACTGCCATGTGTTTTTTGATTGAAGAAAGGCTACAACGTAATGTCTGCCACCAGAATCTTTCAGTAGTGATTAAAAATTGCTGACTACCTTTTATTTTGTTAAGCCCTTTTCTTTTGAATATAAACTTGAGGGATATACTTTTTTTGCTGAATACAGTGCTAAAGGGATCATTTCTACAGTGAATTGTAATTTTTTTATGTGCAGAATAAGCAAAATCAAATTTATTATAAGTATTCTGTAAGAAATCTTTTGAACTGACCAAATGTGTGCTTCTTCAATTTTTTCCTTCTAATTGCCTTTTAATTTCTCACTGTCTTCATGAGATTTTTTTATTATCTTCTCAAAGATATATCATTTTAATACATTTAATTTAATAACATTGTTGTATAGAAGGATAATTTTAAAGGCAGAGTGTCTCAGCTAACTTAACATTATTTGCACTGTTGTTTTCGAGAGAAGATTAAGATGGAGAATTGAAATAGTTGAATCTCTATACTGCTAATTGATTAATATGCTACAGTTGTTAGCAGCTCCTGACCAATGTCTGTCTTTTTTTGTTGTTGTTTGTTTTAACCAAAATGGGTCATAGCACAACTCTTAACAGTGAAGGGTTGTGTATAGAGCTAAACCCATTTATTTTATTCAGCTTGATGAATTACCTGTTGATTAACTCTTTAACAGTTTAGAGTCAAAGATATAAATTTTTGATTTAGGATATGATCAAACAGAAAAAATCCAATAGTTTAAAAGTTAACAATTCAAATAATTTCATTGTTTTCCCTTTTTAGAGTGGATATCACAACTTACATTTCAGAATATACTAAAGGCTCATTAAATCATATTGAAAGACATGTCTGAGTTAGTAAAAAGTTCAAATTGTAGAATAAATTTAGAGACTTCTCAGTTGAGTTACAGGTCTTTTATCTTTAGTTGCTAGAAAGGCTATTTGCACTTATATTAAATATTTAGAGGTAAACATTGATAATTGTTGGAATTTTTCATTTAATTCCATTAAATATTTCTCCTGTATGGAGTTTACACAATTCTCATTTGCTTATTTTAGTCCAATCAATTCCTTTTTCCAAAGTGTAAAAGTCAACTTTAGGAAGTATCTGAGTTTTACATAATTTCAAATTTATTGAATCTGAATTAGAGGTTATTTCAATATTTAATAGTTTCTGGGAATAATTTTATTATTTTGATTTCCTTAGCATATGAGTATATTTCAGGACAGCATGGTATGGTTTGAATTATTTTATGTTTGCTCTTAAACCCTACTTTGTAAATATTTAAGTGTTTTGAGTCTTGCATTAACTCTCAGAATACACTTGTCGAGTATAGTGAGCAGTTCTAGGAAGTACAACGTGCTGATCATAGGCCTTTTGATAAAGAAGCATGGTTTCACAATTATTGGGGGAATTGATAACATTATCAAACTTATCACACATTCAGAGAATGTATACAAATATACATAGCTTAAAGCATAATAAAAAGAAAAGTCATTTATTACTAACACTGCTCCCCATCTCCAGGTTAAAAAATAGAATATTGTTAGTGCCCAAGAAACAACCTGTTCCCTGCTAAACATTTCTTCCTCTTCCTTCATCAAAGGTAACCACTATTTTGACTTTTACAGAAATAATTCCATTTTTTAAAAGTAGTTTTGAGCACTATCTATGGATGCTTAAGCAATAAATTGTTCAGTTTTGCAAAGCTGGGTAGCAGCAACAAACCTATGGCCATTATTGGATGAAGGCTTGCAAAAAAAAGATAAACCGAGAGAGTCTCAGCAGCATAGACTGGCTTTGGCTCCCCACAGAGTTTACAAGAGCTCTTTTGGGGAAAGTCAATGGGCAAGATCATGAATGTGCTTTGGGCCAGGCTTGTCAAAGTCAGTGCAGCTGGCGGAGCTGTAGGGGAAACCAAGTACTAGCTTTCTGGTTCAAAAAAGTTAGAGGTAGTGGGCTGTTTTTTAATTTGGTCTTACACATTTCTTACGTTTATTCCTAGGTATTTTATCTTTTTAGTTGCTATTACAAACAGTATTTTCTTTCATTCTCCCTTCTAACTGGTTTTTCTTTAGTTTTCTTTGTGTAGTGACTTATTTTAATATTCCCCTTTAATGAATTTTCTTATTATTTGTAGTAGTTTTTCCTTTCAGTTGGTTCCTTTGACTTTTCCAGGTGAACGGTCATATCATCTGCAAGTAATTTTACCTCTTTTATAATTTTTATACCTCTAAGATTTATTTTTCTATCCAAATGCATTGATTAGTGCTCTAATACAATGGTAAATAATAGTAGTGACCAAATAAGTAGTGTCAGTGGATCTGATCCTATAGTTTTTGTTTCTTTTTAGAACCATTAATATGATGGCTTATATTAATAGGTTTTCTAATATTGCACACCCTCTGCATTCCTGGAATAAAAGCCATGGTATATTATTATTTTAGTGTCCTGTATTCTGTTTGCTCATATTAGAATTTTTTTATAAGTGATATTGGTGTGTGTTGTAATTTTTGAACAGTAGAATTATGTTTCATTTTCATATAGTCTAGTTCAGAAAATGATTTCATGTATTAAAATTTGTGATTAAGAATTTACTTAAAATAATATCTTTTGAAGGATAATTAACAAACTGCCCCTAATCTCACAGTTACAATATGAATTAGAGAAAACTAAATTCATTCTCTAATTAGGGACCCAATTAACATAAGATATGATTATTTATTAATTTAAATAAATCTTTGTTCTTGGAATACATAGTCTGTTTCAGTCTGAAAGTTTTCTGTGAGGAAAGGACTTTTTTTTTTTTTTTTAAATTTAGTCATTTTAGTTTATAGACTAGGAACCAAGATCCACATTGTACGTTGCTGTTTGAAAGTTTTTTTTATTATGTGGATGAAACCTGAGTTAACAGACTGTTACTAGACTAGATTTTATTCAAATGAACACAAAGTTTTGCACTGAGGAATACATTCTAGTTTAGATTATTTTATGAAACTCTGATTAACTTTGTTTTACAGAGAATACAAGCCAGCATTCTAAAAGCATTTAACAATCCAACTACTAAAACTGCTGATGATGAAACGAGAAAAAAAGTCAAAGGTATGTTGACTCGCTGTTAAAGAAGAAAATATTAAAAGTTCTTTGTTGGGAGAAAAGAAAGCAGAGCATTATGTGAACTAATTCTCTAAACTAGTGGCCTTGAAAGGAGGGTGCACTTAACTCCAGTGCTGCAAAAGTACTCTAGTGGGACACAGAAAATGTCAGAATGAATCCCTGTGCATTTTTATAAATAAAACTAATATCAAATATATAGATGGACACTGGTGCCTTCATGTGAGGCCTCCTGAGGGAGACCTGAAAGGCCCAGAGCCCAAAGAGGTTGAAAGTAGCAGTCTCACTTGAAAGTTGACTTTCATTGTATCGTATCATTTTGTAGTTGACATGTGCTTGGTTAAGTGGATTTATGGATATGATCTAGTCTTAACTACAAAATGCTTACATGCTTCAGAGATTCCTGCAAAGGAATCATTTATTGAAGAGAACACTAAGAAGTCAAGCATATGTGCACAGTTGGCTTACCCCTAGTGTTAGCTCTTATCAGCCAAATTATGAGGTAAGAACAATGATTGATCTAATCAAAGGTGATCATTTATAATTATCAAGATTGAAGTGCGGCTTTGTATCCCATGTTATTAATGATTTACAATGCCCTAAGCGTATATTCTGTCTTGATATATTGAACTAATGGTAGTAGGAAGTCATCATTTTTAGGAGACATTAAAAAATATTATTTGTATTTTATTTATTATTGTCTCTTTGATATTTTTTGTAGTTTTATAATGTACCTAGTACATGTGTATAATTTATAAACAAATATACATTGTGATTGTGCATTCCAAAACTTTATTACAGTTAAGAGTTCAAGATTTTTTAAAATGTAAATTCTCAAGTATGCTCTGGGTTCTTTTGTGTTGAGATAGTGCCATCTAGTGCATGTTTAGAACAACAGTCCAGTTTTTCTTTCTCCTCTTTCCAGATTTATAATCTTTCTACTTTCAATCCCTCGTACAATATTTCTTAATGAAACATCTTAATTTACCATACTATTTCTAAATAAATATTAAATAATATATTTATATTAATAACTGAGTTACTAATTGCCCATATTAATTCCTTAAACTGTTGTATTTCCTTGTCTTTTGTTACTCTGTTGTTTCCATAGCCATGATCCTGGCATCTGTGGCTCTAAAAGCATAATCCCTTTCCCATTCCTCCATCTACCTCCAGGTTAGATGTAGAGCAGGGTTTCGAACCAGTTCGTTCAGGTTCAACTCCTTGCTGAGAATTTGCCTTTCCACCCCAGATATACTCAATAAGAATCTACATTTTAACAAGATCCATAAGAGGCACCTGAGGAATCTTGTTAAAATGTAGATTCTTATTCAGTATATCTGGGGTGGAAAGACAAGTTCTCAGCAGGGGGCCAAACCAAATGAACCAGTTCAAAGCCCTGATGCAGAGGATTAAAAGGTTTAGTGGGAGCTGTTGAGATTTGCTATGAATGATGGTTATTGGTCTATTTATTTTACCTCTTAATTTTAAGAACAGTTCATTTTTTCTTGGAGGCTACTATAGTTGATAGTCATAGTTTCTCTACAAAAGTATAAAGGAAAAAGAAACTGTATAGTAAGATATATTATTAAATGTGGTATGGAACATCTGCCTTATTCATATTACTTTTGAATAAACAGAAAATAGCATGTTATATTGTTAGATTGATGGTTGACTTTTTTGCATTAAAAAGTATTATTTTTACAGCGTATGGAAAAGAAGGTGTGAAAATGAACTTCATAGATCGAATATTTATTGGTGAATTAACTAGCACAGTCATGTGTGAAGAATGTGCAAATGTAGGTACTTGGAATTCACTTCAACATGGAATAGATTACACACATTAACTTTATTATGTTTTCTTTCACATGTAATCATTAGCAGTCATTTTATTTATTTGTAATAGGTGACTACATAATAGTTCTTGAGAGTCTTTTTAAAATATCATACCTTTCACCCATAGAAAGTAAATATGATTTATAATTTTTTTAAAGTAAATGTGTTTATATGTGAGACTTTATTTTTACTCTCTACAAACCTGTGAAGTACACAGGGCTTTGAACTGGTTTCTTCCAATTTGACCCCCTGCTGAGAATTTGCATTTCCACCCCCCAGATATACTGAATCAGAATCTACATTTTAACAAGATCCCTGGGTGACTCTTACATATATGTCTATATTTTAACAAGATCCCCCTGTGATTCTTATGTATATATCTGCATATTTTTTAAAAAAAGATCACCAAGTGATTCGTATGTATACATAAGAATCTTATTAAAATGTAGATTCTTATTCAATTTATCTGGGGTGGAAATGCAAATTATCAGCAGGTTGAAACCCTGGAGGTGCCTTTAGCCTATCTTAATATGCGCAAATGTATTAGCTACCTGTTTGGGTTAAATCAAGAGAGAAATTTCTGAGAAGAGAGGAACTATGTTAGATTGTAGTACCTATGATGTAATTTCAGTAGAAATCACTTAGCGTAGTAACATAACTTTGGATGATTTTATCTCATTTGATTTAAAGTTTATATTTATATGACTTGAAGTTTTTTTGTTGCTGTTAACTCATTTTTTAATTTAGTGATAATTTTTATTTTGAATGCCATCTGTACTTTAACAACAACTTAAAGCACATTTAAATTTTTGTAGGTTTTCAGTTTGCTTGGTAATGAGTATTTCTGAAAGGGTATAGCTTAGAATGTGATAGGTTTAAACTTTTATCAGATCTTAATGATAAAAGAAAGTCTTTATATCTGTTATTCTGTCTCAGATTATGGAGTATTTTTCTATTCTCTCTAGTGTTATAAAAGTAGCATTATGAATATCTTCTGTTAGCCTGTCACTTTGAAGCACAAAATGTGTCAACATGGCATTATTTAAATCTGTACAATATTCAAGATAGAAGTTGATTTCTCCCTCACAAGCTGGAGAGTATCTTTTAAAAAGTAATTATCTTTGAGGGATTGGAGGGGTGGGGATGGAAAAACACTAAATAGACAATAGGTAAGTGGTAACTTTGATGAAGGGTAAGACAGTACACAGTACTGGGGAAGCCAGCGCACCTTGTCTGAGGCAAGGTGATGGAAGCTCCGTAGACACATCCAAACTCTCTGAGGGACTGAATTGCTGGGCTGAGGGCTGTGGGGACCATGGTCTCAGGGAACATCTAGCCCAGTTGGCATAACATAGTTTATAAAGAATATGGTCTGCATTCTACTTGGTGAGTAGCGTCTTGGGTCTTAAAAGCCTGTGAGCAGCCATCTAAGATACTCCACTGGTCTCACCCCTTCGGGAGCAAGGGAGAATGAAGAAGACCAAAGATACAAGGGAAAGATTAGTCCAAAGGACTAACGGACCACAACTACCACGGCCTCCACCAGACTGAGTCCAGTACAACTAAGATGGTGCGCGGCTACCACCACTAACTGCTCTGACAGGGATCACAATAGAGGGTCCTGGGCAGAGCTGGAGAAAAATGTAGAACAAAATTCTAACTCACGGAAAAAGACCAGACTTACTGGCCTGACAGAGACTGGAGAAACCCAGAGAGTATGGCCCCTGGACATCCTTTTAGCTCAGTAATGAAGTCACTCCTGAGGTTCACCCTTCAGCCAAAGATTAGACAGGCCCATAAAACA